CATCAAAAAAGATTTAGCAAAAGAAAAGTCAAATGAAACTATTATTATGATTATTATTATATATGAAATTTGATTTGATTAAAGAGTTTGGTGGGAACCCACAATATCAACTCACAGACAAGACATGCTCTCATCATCAACTGTTCAGGTTGACCATCAAAGCCCAAATCTAAAAAAGAGTAGTACATACAGATAAAAGAAAGAGAAAATTTTAACTAACACACGAGGAGTAAGGAAAAATGTTTGGGGGCTAATTCTGTGGCTTAAATATAGTTTAAATGGCCAAAACGATGTTGTTTTGGTCATTTTGATGTTATTTTGTACTCAAAACGATGTCGTTTTGACCATTTGAGCCACATTTGAGTCATAAAATTTGAGCCCTCTACCATTGCTGAGGAGTAAGGCCTAGTTTGGAAAGACTAAATAAGTGCACTTTTTGACTTTTTTTATATTATGTGTAGAAAAAGTAGAGATGAGATGTTGATTGATGTGACCCAAAAAAGATAAAAAGATGAAATAAGTGCACTTTTTCCTTTGTAGCCAAACTTGGCCTAAGTGATATTTTACATCTTCATAACTTTTTATTTGTATTTTATTATTGATACATTTATGCTAATATTTATAATTTTTTTCTCCCTTCTTCTACCTTATATGTAATTCTTCCATCTAAAAACTTTATTCTCTCACACATTCATACACTTTCTCCGTTCCAAAATAATAATTCATCTTAAAAAATATAGTAACTTTTTTTTATAATACATTTTTTAAAAAAATTATACTTTTTCTGTTGTTAATGAATTTAAAAGAATAATAAAATAAAAAATTCATATTATTTTAGGACTTAACTTTTTAAAAAAGACTAATATTTGGAGACAATAAAAAATAAAATAAGAGATTAATATTTTGAAATAATTAAAAATAAAATAAGAGACTAATATTTTAAACAGCAATGATTTAGAACACTAATTTTGGTGTTTTAATGGAGCACTAATGATATAGGAAGAAGAAAAAATAAATAAATAAACTAAAACTAAAACATCACATCATAATAGGTAGAACCTTCTATCAATTCATTAGAATTAACTTTAGAATTCAAAAATGAGATCTCTAAAGTATTTTTTTTTTTTATTTTAAAACAAGAAGAGGGAGTAATAAAAATATTAAAACAATCAAAATTGTCCTTTCAATTTTAAATACTAACAAAAATCCATTCTAAACTCTGAGACCAACCAAACCCCTCCCAAAATCACATCCTCAGTATTAAGGTGGTGTTTGGCAAGTTGGGTTGGGGCTAAAATAGCCACAAAAAACAAAACAGGCTATTTTAGCCACAACAAACAAAATATCACATCCAACCCATAATCATTATACTCTTCTCTCACAAAAAAAGTCAAAAAAGCCAAAAAGCCAAAAAGTCCTTCCCAAACAAGCTTTTTAGCCCAGGCTAAAATAGCCAAAAAAACCAAAAAGCCAAAAAGTCAACTCACTCCCCAAACGGAGGCTAAGTCAAACTGGAGGACATTGTTATGATGACTTGAGCTGAAATAATATGATTTGAGAAAGACCCCATAAAAAAGTCTTCAAAAACAGACCCTCAATCCTATAGAAGAGGATGAGCAATTGGGGCTGGCACATAATTGAAGTAGATTTCATTATTGTTTTCAAAATATATTTGGGAAATGCTCTCAATTGCTCCCTACTGAATCCTGTTCAGATCTAGGTCATCACCACAATATCCTGGACACTACTTACTCTGTATGAGTATATATATATATGTGATGTATGTCCTATCAAAAAAATATATATTCAGCTTACTTGGTTTTGAAATTCAGGAACAATTCATTTTTTAGAAAAATAATTTTTTTTATTTTTCATATTTTTTTATTTTTACTGAGTTTTTTTAAAAAATATTTTAAGATTTTTTTTTAATTTTTAAATACACCCAATATAAATACACTTAAAAAAAATAATATTTGTAATAAAAATCTTTAAAAAATTCACAAAATACCAAAACTATATATAAAAAAAATACAAAATCAATACATTTTTCATATTTTTATGTATTTATTGATTTTTTAAAATATTTTTTTATAGATACATTTAAGTAAGGTGTATCTAAAAAAGTAAAAAAAAAAATTACTTAAAATTATAAAAATATTCACTAAAAATAAAAATAAAAAACTTAATTTGTAAAAAATTGAATTTAAAAAATTCAAACCAAGCACACTGATTGAATTTTTTTTTTTTAAATTAGTATAAAAAAATATTTTTATTTTTAAGAGTAAAAAGTTTTTTTTTTTTTTTTTGTGTGCATAATTTAACTTTTTTCTGTATGTCAAATTTGCACCCAAAAAAAAATTATTCGTATTATAATTATTTTTTTTCTCTATCCTCTAAAATGCAATTATCCTAAAAATATAGATGTGATGTATAAGTATATATATTGCATGTTATCGATTATAACATATTTGTGTATGAAAAAAGGTTTAAAACAATTTCTATTGAAAAATGTGTAAAAATATATTAAAATATAATATAAATAATTATTTAAAAATATATATAAAGTATATTGAAATTATAAGTATTTTGATATTTTATACTTCTTAATAGCAGTTCTTAATATTATCATTAGCAAATACTTTAGTGTATTTAATAAGTATATAAAGAGCGATTTATCCTTTTGACTGAAGCCTCGTTTGGGAACAGACTAATTTAGTAACTTTTTGGTTATTTGATTAAAATATGAATTAAAAAAAATTAATATGTTTGGATGACTTTTTAGCTTTTTACGAAAAGATATGCAAAAAGTAGAGAGAAAAGAGACTCTTTGACTTTTTGGTATGGATTGTTGGCTTTTTAACTTTTTTAGTAACTTTTTAACTTTTTTGCTAAACCGGCCTGTTGCCAAACGAGGCCTGAATATCGAGGATAAAAACAAATAGTTGGATCCCATTTTTGTATACCCTTTGTTTGTTGATTGGATATAAAGGGGCACTTTGGAAAGATTGGTAAAAAATCAATTTTTTAATTTTTTTTATCCAAAACAATCGAGTTTTCTGTTAAAAAAGTCAAAAAAATTAACTTTTTATCGACTTTTCAAAACACCACAAAATTATGTTATATTTCAAAAGTGCCATATATGTATAACACCCCTATTATGTTACACATCTCCAATCACAAGACATGGGTCATCATTTATCAAATAAATAGTAAAAATAATCACTCATTACCAAATGTTATATTTTGTCAAAATTAAAGATATCTATCTCATATTCTAAGCATATATCATTATATATTTTTAGATAGTATATATTCTCCATTCTCTCATGTATCCAATGCAAACAATCAAACAAGACCTTGAGGCCTACTTTGTATATTAAAAATTTGTGTATGAATTTTCATAATTCCATTTTTTGGAATAGATTATATGAGAAAATGATTTTTGATTGCCTATTCAAAGTGAAATCACTTTACCAAACTAGGCAATAATCTGATTCTCATGCGAAGCATTTAAAAATGAAAATATATGGATCCATAACATCGAGAAATTTATTATTTTATCATTTAGAATTTTTTAACTAAACCAAATTCTTGAATTAACAATATAATTTTATTATTAGTAATGATTTTTTTAAAATAAGAAATATTTAAAATAAAAATACACAAATACTTCATATAAGGAAATACTTGAGGTTTGATTCAGGATAGAGATTATCTAAGAGATAGAGACCATTCAAAGCTAAGGCCCTGTTTTTTTCAGAAATATAATAGAAGGGATTGATAGTGAAGAGATTAAGTAAAATTGTATTTGTTTTGATAATAGTTGTTGGTGCAAGAATTGTTAAATTAATTTTATACAAAATAATAAAACAAATAAAAAAATACAAAAACATTAAATGTTAATGTTTAGAAAAAAAAATGCCCAACATGTAAAAAAGAAAAATAAAATAATAAAATTCCAAAAAAATAAAACAAATAAAACAATGATTTTTACTTAAAAAAAATACAAAAAATTAAACATTAATATTCAAAAAAAAAAATACCCAACATGTAAAAAATAAATAAAAAAATAGTCCGACAGACTATTTTTCTAATACCACCTCCTCCATCACAATCCCCCTTCCAAGACCTATCCTAATACCAAAGGATTAGAAGTCCCCTCACCATCTCTCAAAACAAACATAACATATAATAAGTTTCACCTTATTATCAATCTCAATCCCTTCTTTATATACCCAAACAAACAAGGCCTCATACCTTATTATCAATCTCAATCCCTTCTTTATATACCCAAACAAACAAGGCCTCATACGTAACCATATAAAATTAACAGACAAAAATTAGTAGCTGCACCAAACAATTTACCATGATTATTGAGCCAAAAAAATTCAACTATTTACCAATTGCTGTATGGTTGTTTGATGCCACTAATGCTATGTTTCCTTCACAGATTTGTTGGTGGACACAAAGGAAATGGAAAAGGAAAATTTTTTTTTTTTTTTTTTTTTTTTTTTTGGGGTAAGAGAGAAAAAATTAAAATTAAAAATAAAATAAAAAATTGTTGAGAAATTCTTGTTCATTTTGTTTTTATTTCTTAGCCCAAATAAACAAAATGCAAGAAGTTAGAGCCTGTTTAATTTATTTTTATTTTCTGGAAACACATCAAATTTGTTTGCCAAACTATTTCCAAACAAATACACTTTTAGGAAACACCAAAACTGTTTTTTCACAAAAACACCCCGTGAAACTGTCATAATTACAATTAAGCCCCACCACAAGATCCACAACCGTAATTCAAATATCTACTAGAATGTTACAGAATTCATCAGCAACAGCTAAATGATTTGAAACCAGGATAGCAGTTAAGTCCACAAATTGCTTCTAGAGACATGGTTATATCAATCAGTATCAAAATTGACAAAATTAACTCTGATTATGACAAGCAAATAGCATAAGAGGTTCCCACCCTTTTTTCCTTTTTCGACATTGTTTGGTGTTAACCTCTTTTGAAGTTTCAATTAGTACAAGTTTAGTTCCAAGTACAATATCTTTGCCAACACCAGCAATTATCTTTGCTATCATTATACAGATCTGGTTCTGTAGCGGGAAAAAGAAGCCATAAAAAACCCGCCACGCCAACAATAAACGCAAAACTCACAATCCCTGAGAAAAAAAGTCAACAAAGAGCTTTGGCATGAGAGTATATCTCCTAGGATATACAAATATAAGGAAATGACGTGGATTTGGAAATTAATATTCCAAGCATCAATCATAGTAGAAAGCTAATCGATTAGAGTAACAAGCAGGCATAATGGCAGAAAAGTAGAGATTTGGCCGATGTATTTATATATTTGACCGAATATATGATAGGTCAAACTAATAAGTAAACTCTAAACATCTTATTACATTTGTTGGTTAGCATTATCATCATGTTCAAGCATCTTCGGTTCAATTCTTATTTTGACACATCAAGCAGCCCGTATAGTTCAAGTTTAGTAATTTAATCATAGTAGACCATTGTATCATCCAGAAAAAGGGTTCTCTTTCACCAATGAGTATCTTAACAAACTAAACTATTTGAGTGTGAATAATTACAAATCCATATTCTTATTCCACATGTTAATACAACTTTATATAATCGGCTGTAACTTTTACAGTCTACAATATAACCTCATTCTACAAGTACGGATAAACTAATGGCACGTATGAGGATAAATTAAGAGCCACTGGTCAACCTAATAAAGGGCATTAATTTTTTTCTTCATAGACGAAGGGCTTCATTCATTTATAAGAAGTAATTAATAACCAGATATTCCAATCAATGTAAGGCTTGAATAAACCACCCCATTATTTAGAGATGTAATCAAATCACATGTATGGATTTTCTTTTATTACATATTAATTGATATAATAATCGAAGAATATAAGTCAAATAGTGGATTATGTTTGAAAGAGAATCAATTCACATACCGTTCCTTCGTGAATACAGCACAGGCAAGCCCATAAAATTGCAAAATATGTGGGCGACTACTGGAGCAATAAGATGCCCTGCAATTACATATGGATTCATAACTAAAGAAGTAAAAAAATCTACCAAGATAGGGCACATAAGCACAAAAAATCTACAAATATAAGCACTGCCACTTAAACAAAAAATGCAAAAGCTATGGCAGCGTTTGGTAACGTTTACTTTTTTGTTTATATTTACAAAAATTTTATAAACTGGTTTATGTTTATTTTTAAAAAAACATAAACTACAAACGCGTTTGGTTTAAACAAAATGTTTAAAAAATTTTAAAAACATAAACTAAAAAATATGTTTGTTCAGGCCTAAAATATTTATATTTATTTTTATTATTTATGACAATGGGATCACATACATTATAATTGAAAAAAATTAATTAAAAAAATATTTGAAAAAAAAATTAATTGGGAAAAAAAATATTTGAAAAAAAAATAATTGAAAAAAAGAAAAAAAATTAATTGGGAAAAAAATTTAATCGAAAAAAAGATTATTTGAAAAAAAAAATTGAAAATAAATTATTTGAAAAAAAAAAATAAATTGAAAACTGAAAACGTAAACTCATTTTTTGAGTTTACGTTTTTTTCCCTCAAATTTATAAACTGAGACAACAATTTATAAATCAAAAAAATTATCAAACAAGTTTTTATGACAATTTTTAAAATTTTTGTAAATATAAACTGAAAATTGAAAACGGAATAGTTATCAAAGAGGCTCTATACAATGAGAACCCTGATAGCTCACTTAAAGAAAAGTAATTTATAGGTAGGGACCAGGAAAAAAAGTTGTCCCTCTAAATTGGTCCAAAGGAAACGATGGACTACACAGATCCCCTATTTCTTGAAAATATAACATAATCAACTCAAAAATTCAGATCTCAAAAAATAATAATAATACAGTAAAAATGCATGCATTTACAATAACCTACCTAGCTGCGAACAAAATAAAACTGAACACAACCATTTAGAATAGTTATTCTAACAACGCGCAATTTAAAACCGCATGATCAAAGAACAGTTTGTCTTGTGATCGAAATTTAGATTAGACTACTTCTAATGAAATCCTTATGAAATTTCCACTCAAATCATAGTATGGCCATGTTTATTGTCCAAACAAAAGAAAAGGGAAAAAGACTGAGTAGCCACAATTACTACCTCCTACTCCCCAGCCATACCTATCACATATCAAATGGTGGCAGAAGTAGAATTTCTTCAATTGATATTTTCTTAAAATGGAAATAAAAGATTAAAGTACAATACTCCTCAGAAACTGCCAAATGAAAACATGGGAGCTTCTATTTATACAACAAAATTATCCCCTTACACATTTTCTATTTACAACCCATCAAAAATATACCCTCATCGCCTATGAAGCACGTGTACAAGTATTGGTACGGTACGGGTACATCGATACAATTTAGTCTGAAAAGATAGAGTACGGATACAGCTTGATACATTTGTAAAAAATATATTTATTTTTAATTTGGAGAAAAAAAAATTAATTAAATGGTTTAGTTGGTTAAGATCTAACCTACGATTCATATTTAATTCCAAAAGTAAGGTACAAACAAAACTTAAATGTTATTATATTAAATACTTTACAAACCAAAGCTTAATTTTAAAATCAAGCTATAAAAAAAATAAAAATAATAAAAATTAATGAAACCAACTTCACCTTTGTATAGAAGAAACTACTATTCTAGCTATGATACGGCTTTACTAGATACCTTTTAGGGTACGGTAAAAATTAAAAAAATAAGTGGCTATGTGTTTCGTGTACTTAATAAGTATGCAGAAGTACTAATGCCCGGTATGTGTATGACATATTTATCTAAGTATCCATGCTTTATAGCGCGCATCACTAACCCTCCATCATCTCTTTAAACCCCCACACCTTTCCAAATCCTAACTCACACCTACTACCTCCAACAGCCATAACTACTACAGCTACCGTCTCCAACCACCGCAACCACCACTTCCTAGCCCTCCCCACCCCACCGCACCCCCCCAACGACTACCAACCTGCAACCTTCCCAACCCCTATAACCACCACATCGCAACCATCCCCACCCAAGTGACCACCACCACACAAATTTTCCTATTCGAGTGACCACCTCACAGCCCCCCCACCCCTCCCCAACCTCAGATTTAGGATCACAAGCGAGGGAAAGAGAGAATCTAGGGGTTTTAGAGAAAAAGAAGTCCAACTACCAGAGCCCAACAAATAGCCTCTATGCAGCTTCATGGTGTTGGTTCAATGCTCACTGTTCGAATCTAGATTACCAGAGTTGAACAAATGGCGTATGTTTAATTTTTTGATGCCAAACGGATCGTGTTTGTTCAAAGACCGGCCACCAAACAGGATGGGGTGGTCTGTTGGGTGGGGGGAGGGGTTGCAATGGTCCTAGGGAGGGGTTGACAGTAGTTGGGGACTTGTTTAAGAAATTATGATTTTTTTTTAAGTAATCTTACATGAGGATAGAATTGCAATAAAAGGGGAGAGAGGGGTGTTAAGTGAAATAATAGAGATCCACACTATTAAACCCAAAATGATGTGGCAAGGGAGTTGGGCCCTATATCATTGGATGTGTAACAAATCAAAAGTTGATACCTATCACAATGATGTGGCCAGGGAGTTGGGTCCTATATCATCGGATGTGTAACAAATCAAAAGTTGATACCTATCATACCATATCATTGTGGGAGCTTCATGCAACTCGACAAATGTTTCAACTCCAGGTGATCGATAACAATACAGCACCATTGAGTGCCACCGTAAACTATGGTAAGTAAAAAGTGCAAGTGTCATAAAATCTTGACCAAACAAGAAACGCATATGGCACAAATATTTCCAACCCGTGAACACATATCAAATACTAAAAGCATCACTCACCCGTCCGAATGAAGAGAAATGATGCATACGATCCAAAGATCACAGTATAACCAAGCTGGAGACCTAATAAACAAAAAGGAATTTGTTGACCAATAGCGAATAGAAGAGAACTGCTTCATAAATTTAATTATAATGTAGATCAGAACTTTTCTCCTACCATATGTGTGAAAACTTTTACAATAAAGAAGAAAAATAGGTAAGAACAAATGTGCATGTACCTACAACCATGGAAGCTTTTAGCAAGCTACGGTTTTGTTCGGTATAGAACTCCAAGAAATGATTTAAATGAGCTGCATAATAAAGATAATGCATATTCATCTTAGTATGAAAGAATTAAGAAAGAAAATGAATAATAATAACCATTTTCAATTTTGTAGCAGATTTTGAAACAGGATGTATTAGCCATTTGAACGTATTTTAGGATACTATAAATTTCTAGTGGGGAAATAGTTTATTTCCATTTACTAGAGGGTAATACCAATTCAGATACAGAAGGAATCATGTGGAATTTAATGATAGATTGTAGAGAGGGAAGACTGGTGAGTGTGGAGGACTGATGGATTGTTGAGATGGTGCCAGTTGGGAAACTGCTCGATTCATGTTATTTATTCAGTTCTATGATGCTTGAGCTCTACATGTTTCTATTAACATACTATTTGTTTAACTGTACATATAATTGTGCATGTCCACACACCTCACAGGATAGGATATGACTGCTAAGCAGCAGCTCACCAGGAACTCACCTTGGCAAGGAGGGGAGTTCACTCCACGAACTTTCTTGATGAGACATTAGATGATTAATCCTGCCATTAGCAATCATGGACATTTGCCTTATATTTTGTACTTAATGATTTAGTATTTGGACATTTTTTTGTAGGCTTGTGTTTAGAGTAATGTTCCCGGACATGTATTATTTTAGGCTTTGGGATTATGTTGGGAAGATGTAGATGGTCTGATGTATACTGAATGGACTGTACCAACTTTTCAAACATTGGAATTTATACTTTTAATTTTTGTTTTACAAAACCCCTGAAAAATCGGGGCATCACTGGAATTTTTGTAAGTGCTAATATAGATACTACTGCATGATTTTGAATTAAAATATTGCATGAAAACAAGTGTGTGGTGTGTTTATTGTATGGTGCTGCTAATTGTAAGAAAAATATGAAGAGCACCAATCATCATAATATCAAAAAGTTTAACTGTACTAATGCCAAATAAGAATACCCATGACACATATGTAACATTTTTTGAAATATGTAAAATGGCAGTTATAGCATTTTAGAGAAAAGAATGTAAAATATTGAAAGATTTGACAATTATTCCTTTCTACTTCCAAACCCAATGTGATTGATAAAACAGCTTGCTTGCTAGTCTCAAAAAATTGAAAGCTCGTAATGATTAGCAGAATTATTTAATGTTGCATACGTGCATCTCAATATCATCATTCACATAAAAAATTATTGTTGCAGAAGAATGTACTGTCATATGAATGAGCATAGTTCTGTAATCAACTCTGAGCAATTTCAAGCCAAATTAAGAGTGACGTATGTCTAACTAAACTTGTTTGTCAACTATACAGCCATTCTATACAAAATTAACATCATTACAACTTTTCTCTGAAAACAAAAATGTCATGAATCATAATAAAGCTTAATCGCCTGAATAGATCATGCAAAGAATCTATTGAAATGCAAACTTAATTAACTTACCCAAGCTAAAGAAAATGGGGCAGAAAAATATGACACCGTATGTTTTAAATCCTCCACAAAGAAGCAAAGGAATCATGCATGCTCTAAATACCAGCTCTTCTGTAAGTGGTGCCTGTTTAATAAAGCAATATCAGGGATCCATGTGAGCTGAAAAGTCTGAAGCTCCAGCTTAGAGCTAACAACAGAGTATCTAGTAATGAAAGGTAAATCTTATTAAGTCCTCATCCTATATGTGAACCATTTAAGGAAATAGAAACTTGATTCATTATCATTTAATTTAACTCTTAACTCCAAGAATTAGAAGAAGAACCACACTTATTTTAACAGACTTCACATCATTAAATCTTATTATCTTTCCACCAAACCCATGTCCACATGTTAAGGCAGAAAATAATGTATAAAAATAGAAAGGAAAAAAAATTTCGTTCACATGAAGTATACAATAAAAGCCCAATTTTACATGTCAATGATGGGATAAAGTGCTTGGGCAATACCGATCATTATACATACTCATCATTGCAGTTCATGCATCTTGCAATTATCCACTGACCAACACTGCCTTGCCTATTCATCTTGAAAGCTACAATGTTTCTAAATTAGAAGTTACACTACACATTGGTTCATTTTAAACTTTAATGATATCTATCATCCACGCCCAACAAACATTTTTTTTCCCATATGATGATAGAGATGATATCTCTGGTAGAGTCAAGCAAGCATGATCCAAATCTTAAATCCAAACAGTAGGCAATTACAAGATATGATTGTGCTGCTAAAAGCCACCAAATGTTCTTACACAAATCCCAATAATATAGCCCAACAATTTTTCAGAAAAAGTTGCTGCAACAACCACAGCTTATCTAAATTATCCAATTATTAATCTAGCGCGATGGGCCGCTGGCACCCTAAAAGTTTATTTTATCATATCAACTATTAGATAAGGTTACATTTTAACAAGGAAACCAAGACGTAAAAATATCCATACAAATTTTCTATTTAATTGTAAAATATCTTTAAATTTCTAGAAGATCATGCAGTTAGAATTATCAAACACTGTCAGGCTCTTTACTTTAGGAATCAAGGAGGGTCTAAAGGATTTAGATTAGACCAAAGAAAAAAAGGAGTTGCTTCCCTGATAGCGCATGATTATCACCTTTGATGCTTGAGTGCTGTCAATGTAATGAGTTAATAAGCATATAACCTACTTATGTAGTTTAGTCACTATTATTTTGTATTAAAACAGTGATAGCCACTATCCTGTAGACAGTAACAATTTTAAGCAATAAACATGAGTCCTTTTCCATCAACAACTCTAAAATAAAATTCAAGGGAAACTCAATTTTCTGCTTTTACTGAATAGAGAACAACACATGAAAATGAAACAATACTCATACAAAACTCATCAGCCATAAAACAGCCAAATGATACCCAGTTTCCATCTCAAAGATAGACATGTTGCATTAGAAGGAAAACACACACATAAAAAGTTGATTAAATAAGAATAACAAAATGGTAAAGATACTGACCACAAAATAATTACGCCAAGCCGATACATTGGAAACAATTGAAAACATTTTGCCGATGACCATTTGCAAAACATTATTCATACAGTTGGATGAGTGACCTTCACTGTCATTCCAATGTTCCTTCCATGAATTTAGCAGTGACATGGACTTTAGGACCAAAGACCCAGCGTATAATAGAGAAGTCAAAGAAACAGGATAAACCACAGCTTGCCACTGTTTCATACATAAAATTGGATTTCAGCAGGCAAAGTTAGCAATCAGACACCCTTTTCCAATCTGCAAACCATGAAAGCATATAAATTGATATTACCAAATGCAAAACACTAGCCCTTTCCTGGTATTCAATCATACATCTTGAACTCGAATACTCACCATGTGGTCCAGTCGGATGCCGTAAACACCAGATAAATATGATGCATCCCAGCTTCTTATCTGGGATAGTTAAAGAACAAAATGTAAATAAGATTGGGTATTTAGATGGAAACTCTCGTAATAAAAGATAAAACGAAAGGTGTATGCCACTGATCACAACAGCTTCTGGGAAGAAACAAAGAAAATAGCTCACAGGTTACATGCATTTGAATTTCAATACATACAAAATTCGCCAGAGGTTAGCAATGATGAAAGCCCACAAAATAAGACTTCAGAAACCAAATATATAACATAAAAATGCAATCTATATCGAAATAACAGCCAAATGGATAGGCCATAGACTAAACAAAACCTTTGTTCAACTAGCCTAACAAAAGGTATTTCCCCACATAGGGCCCACAAACCACATTCATAAAGGTGATACTAGAAATTGTGCATTCAGTTAAACCCCAATGAACACAAAAGTCAACTCATGAAAGAATACTCTATCTGATTAGACTACATAATATTGCAATCCATATTAAATCAACCACTTTAAATGGATGGGGCCATTCAACTTGCAACTTAATTAAACTGAACTCAATTAGTGTTGGTCCAGAGATACTCCTAACGACTTTAATTTAGCTACAAGAATATTGTTTCCGTTCCTGAGGTTCACCGCGGCTGATAGATGATACATTAAAAGAAAAGGGAAAAAAAAAGAAAAAGGACATTATCCGAAACTAATGAATCCACAAACTAATAATCAAACCTAATTCTACAATAAAGGCACTAAACATGACCAATTCCAAATACTAATCAAATTTATGACGAAATTAACTTGAATTACTTCACTGCATGTCTACCTACAGTTAAAATTTATGAATTAGAGTTTGTGTTCACATGAATTGTGAGTATATATCTTAAATGGGAAAACAATGAAATGAAAACTGTTTCTTTTCAATATTTCCTACAATCTTAAATGGGAAAACAATGAAATGAAAACTGTTTCTTTTCAATATTTCCTACAATACCTAAAATACGCATCAAAACTAAGGCTATGTTAGGATTTAGGATTTGCCAAGGAAAAAAAAGCTAAAGGCAAATAAAATTACTTATACCTATAATTTTTTATATGTAACCAAATAATAAAAAACATTTTTTTTTGGGGGGGGGGGGGGGGGGAGTAAAAAAAAAAAAAAAAAAGATGGTTCTTTGACTTGATATTTCTTTTTCATTTTCATTTCACTTAATAAAGCAAAACCAAGCACATAAGTATAGATTTCATGGAAAAAGGTAAGAAATCAAGAATAAGAGAATGAAATTTCCCCCATTGGTTGATTCCAATTCACTTCTGCACTTTATTTTCCCTTTCCCTCACCAAACCCCTAAACCCTAATATACAGAAGCATATAATGACACATATATATAGGAATAGAGAGTAAGGGAAGAGGGGAGAGAGAGATTACGGGAAGGATAAGAGCGCAGAAGATGAGAGAGAGGAGGGAGGAAACAGCGGCGCATATGAAGCGTCGGATCAGGAAGCTTTGGAAAGAGATTGGCGGTGGGAGGCGAAGGATCAAAGTGGGAGAGTAGAGAATGGCGACGTAGAAGAAGGCCATAGCAGCACATGAAGTCACAGCCAGTGATTTGGATATGCCTTGTTCTGCTTCTTCTTCCATGGCTTCCCCAAAAATACCTCACACACACAATCTCAGATTCACCGATATGTGTGGAATGGAGTGGCTATCAAGTGTTTTGAGTTGGAGGGACTGTGTTGTGTTGTTTTGTGTTGTGTTGTGTTGAGTTGGTGGTCTCTCTCTCACTCGCTTCGCTTGCTTTCCCCAGAGGATTTCTTTCTTCTTCTTCCTTGGTCTGGTCTGGGTCTGGGCCGGCTTCTTTGCGGCGTGACGTGGCGACCTTGGCCAATTGTTGTATGCCACGTTATGATGAGAGGAATAAGGGTAATCTCGTCGCCAAACACCACAAGGGTTAGAGCACCTTGCACTTCGAGCGGAAAATTATTAATCCGCCAAATGAATAATATTTCTAATGGTGGATCAGATTTTTCATTAAATTTGAATTAAAAATGATTCATTTTATTAAATTTGGTAATAGATGCTTCAACGGTTTATCTTTCACCAAATCTATCCCGCGACAACCGGGTGGTCGACCGGCAAGTGAAATTTTTTTTTTTTTTGAATTGTCTAAACCGTTTTTGTTGAACTTTCTGAACTTTTTCCGGAACGACCAGGTGGTCGACCGGCCGGTCTCGGTTAGGGAAATTTTTTTTTTTTTTAACTGTTTAAACTTTTTTTTGAACTGTTTGAATCTTTTACTGGTTGACCGGTTGGTTAACCGGCCGGTTACCGGCTGGTCGACCGGTTGGTATCACCCCAACAGTCAGTAACAGTGATTTGGTGAAATGCTTCGCCTGTTCTCAGTTTGATGAAATGTTTGGTGAAATCTCATTTTGATATCGATTTGGTGCAACCGTTGGAGCATTAAACAGTAACTTTTTCATCAAATTTTAAATTTGATGCTGGGTTTGATGAACCGTTGGAGATGGTCTTATACTATTACTTTATCTCTTTATATTTTTTATATGAATTTTTTTTAATTTTATTCATATGTGAAATTAATTTTAAGGACAAAATATTAAAATTAAATATATTTTATTATCTCTTTATATCTCTTGTCTTCAATTTCTACTCCTCTTTTTCTTTTTTTAATTTTTCTTTTCTCTCACACATCTCTTTTCAAAAAGTGAGAATTATAGTATTTTGATCATTAAAGAAAACAATGGATGAAGAAACGGTGGTGAAGAATTATCAAAAAAGTGAAATGGTGAGTTATTTTATTTTATTTTTCTAGATTGGTGTTCGACTTTCGTTCGGTGGTTCGAAGTCGAACAAAATAAAATATTCCGGCATCACATTGCCGAACAAAAAATATAAGTCTGGTAACCCACTACCGAATAAAAGATACATTTCCGGTAACTCCAAGCTGAATCTTCTTAATTTGTTCGGCTTCTCATTACCATGTATCTTCTCATTACCATGTATTTTCAGTTTATTTTTTTATATTTTTTTATTTTTTTGCCTAGAAGTATTATATTAATACTCATTGCAACAACGCAAGTATTGCAATATTAGTGGACTCTTATCATGAATTCATTACTGTAACAACTTCGACTCATGATTAACGTTAATCCATGTTTAATTATGCCTAACAAGAAATTAATGTGAAAATTTGCACTATGTGTTGCTCTATTTGTGTTTATATCTGTTTAACGTAGAAAGATCTGTTCATGTTTTTATTTGGTTTGCAAATTGAAGGCCTTATTGACATCCGATTCAAAAATTGATTTGATATGCGTATTATTTAGAATTTTTTAAATTTTATGGTAGGTCCAATTGAAATTCAGTTCGAAACGATTAATTTAATGGCTCATTTGATTAGTCTTAATTATCTAACATTAGACAAGCCCATCTAAGGCTTTTTGTGTACTCCTACTCACTCTTTTCCCTCATGTCAACACATTTTGAACTCTCACACACACAACCAATGTAAGAGAGAAAGAAAGAAGAGAAGTTGAGCTCAAATTATTGGGATTGCTAGAGAACTTGTGAATTTGGACTTAGGAACTCAAGGATCAAACTTCTAGCTCTCATCTTGACAAGTTTAGGTAAGAATCCAACCCTCTGTTTGAACAACTATGAAGTGTAAGACATGAACTCTAGAGATTTGAGTTGATTAATGTAAGAATTGGGTTAGAAATGAAGAGTATTGAGCCATACCATGCACACATGCATATTTTCTCATATTTTGAGTTTAATTTCTAAGAATTCCCTTATACATGTCTTGAATTTACCTTAATTGTGGGAAATTATCAAGTCTCATGTTGTTTTGTAGCATTTGATCATGTTTTGAGAAGATTAAAAATTCATGCATGTCATGTTCATGGAACATTCATAAAATTTTAAGTTGAATTTTTACACAATTGGCTAGCTATTGGGCCATGATTTCTTGAAATGATCCTTAATTCATGATGTTTTATGAGTTTCTATGTGTTCTCTCAAGTTTTGGCCTAGAAAATCGAGCTTTGATGCTTTAAGATTGAGTTTTGAAGCTTGGAAGCAATTCTGGAAATTCCAGAATTCTGCTTCTATACTCGAGCGACGGATTCCACGCTCGAAAGACCACTTTGTGTCTCACACTTCCGCTCGAGCGACCAAAGGCTGGCTCGAGCGTGAAATGCATGCTCCTAGAAGTTCTTACGTTTTGCAGCACGCTCGAGCGATAATAGTTGCGCTCGAGCGAGGGCATGTCTCTCATGCTCAAACGAGTGTCGAGTGGGAAAAACAAGCAACTAGTCATTTTTCAAAGTTTGCAGACCGCTTGAGTGAAGGAAGTTGCGCTCGAGCGAACCCTCACATTTTGTATGTCCGCTCAAGCGAGGAAAGCCACGTTCGTGTGTGGACTCTGTTTTCAACAAATTTTGAAAAATGTTTTCAAGTACATTTTTGCATCCTTATTCCATCCTAGACATTCCTAAGGCAAAATCAAGACACTATGATGAGGATAAAGGCTAGAACACACTAAGAACAAATAAGTTGCGTACAAACCAAACGGGTGTTCCAATGTATGTATCTGTCATGTTATATAGGTCACACGCTTCAAGTTAAGTGCATTGTCTACTCTACTCGTCTATCTAGAGTCACCTGTTATCTGTAAGTAATAGCTTAGTAAATCTATGGTCAAGTTAAATTATTTTCTATCTATGAATAAGATCTGTTTTATGAAATGATATGAATGATTGTCAAATTTTTGATAAGTATTTATGACAAGTATGTTATTTGTTTCTGGACCGGAGGTTCCTTATGGAACTGACAAGTTATCTGTACTCGGCTGGAGGTTCTTTTATGGAACTGACAAGTTAACTGTTCCCAGTCCGGAGGTTCTTTTATGGAACTGACAAGTTATTCGTACCTGGTCGGAGGTTCCTTTATGGAGCTGACAAGTATAATCTATGATGCTTTGTATATGATCTATTAGCGTTAACGAATAAACCATGTATGATCAAGCATGAATTCTGAATTATGTACATGATTTGAATAAGAATATGAATGTGAACTAGCTTAGTCATGGAACATCATTCATTTAACCCTTTACTCTGTTATCATTCACAGGGTTTCCGCTCACTATTTATATTATGTATGTAGGTAATCAGGCACATGACCAGGCTCGGAGTTGAAGACCTGGCGTCTCAGTTTTTGTCAACTAATCTTTGCGCCTCCCGAGGAAGTTCTAGATTAAGTCAAGTCTAGTGGTTGTGTTGTTATGATTGTATAAGATTTTGTTCTTTTGCTCTCTGAACAAGTTTCTCTGTTTTTTTTTTTTATGTACATGAAGTGACGTGTAAATACTGTATCTTTTGACGTCACTCGTATGTTTATAAAAGTTTAAGATTATATGTCCCATGTATGTCTTCATAGCTCGATCGACTATGTATATTTTATGTATTTACTTCCGCAGCCCCTAATTATACATTATGATGTTATGAGGCCTTTGGTAATCCAAGGATTACTAGCCAGTTACGACGCTAAACCTATAAGGGCGGGTTTGGGTCATAACAGAATGGTATCAGAACACGTGTTCTACCACACACACGAGTCCATACGAGTTTAGGATGCCCTAGTAAGAAGTAGGAGCATTCCATTTGCATGTGTGATTGTGTGTTTTTGAAAGTGAAAGCATAAATTTGGTTATGATCACATGATATGGTAACAAATAATCTGAATAATGTAAAAGGACTATTTGCCTATATTTTATGATGTTCCGTTTACCTATAGCAAATGGAAAATACAAGAAGTGATGGAACAGCAGAATCATTTGAGGCTCAAATGAGCCGCATAAAACAAATGCAAGTAGCTTTAACTGAGGCAATAGCTCAACAACAACAGAGGCAACAACCCTTACCTCCTCCACCCTCGCCGATTCAAGTGGAACCAGATAACAATGATCTCATAAGTTTAACTCGAAAGTTCCTGAAGATGAAACCGTCGACTTTCTTAGGTGGCATTAAACCGTTAAAAGCCGAGACATGGTTACTTGAAATGGAGAAGCTATTTGAAGTATTATCTTGTTCTGAGGTTCAGAAAGTTTTTCTAGCCATCTATACTCTGAAAGATGAAGCCCGAATATGGTGGTTGCTAATCCGAAACAATAATGGAAATATGACATGGGCACAATATAATGCAATCTTCTATGATAAATACTTCCCCTAATGTTTCCGGGATCAGAAAGTTTCTGAATTTCAAGAACTCAAACAAGACAGGATGTCCGCGGCTGAGTATACGGCCAAATTTATTGAGTTGCCTCGATTTGCTCCACATATGGTGGATACTGATTACAAGAAGGCACGGAAATTTGAAGGTGGACTGGATCTGGAAGTGTTTGACCGAGTAGGCATCTTGAAATTGCCTACTTATGTGAAAGTTTTAGACAGAGCGATAATAGCAGAAACCACAATAGCAGCAATGAAACAAGCCAAGGCACCAACAACAGAATAGAGAAGCAAAAGACCTGGGTCTAATTTTTGGAAAGATCGTCTCTTCTTCGCAAACAAAAAGCAAAATACTAGATCTTCAAGCAGCTCAAGCCAAAGAAGTGGGTCTATGCCAATCTGCTCAGAATGTGAAAGGAAACATAAAGGCATGTGCCATCGTGCATCGGGCGCATGTTTGCGCTGTGGTAAAATCGGTCACATGATTAAGAACTGTCCAATGAGGTTTGACAATGCAAACCATCCAACAGCAAGTTTGGCCAGATCTACCCCTGTAACGAGACCCAATGCAAGAGCTAGTGCTAGGAATAACACCGGGAATGAAACACTGAGGTAAGGGAGAGTGATTGCT